GTCTTTCATGGCCAAAAAGCTAACGAGCTCATAGAAACCTTAAAAGAGAAAACAGAAAAAGCCATCCAAGCCTTTAACAAAGACCTTCCCGGCTGGATGGCCAACATCGACAGAGGCCAAAATAAATATATACACGACACCAACATTGAATTGTCGACAACCTTTAAAACCTACAAAGATATTGCTGAAAGTTTCCGAAAACGCGCTTCAAACGAATACTCAGTGCAATGTTGCGACCAAAAAATAGAAGAAATAAGGAAGGCGAGGGGTGATGTTGGTGAAGTCTTTAAAGGCTGTCTTAATAACATCAGAGTTGTGGTGAATCAAAAAATTCCAGAAATAGAAAAGCACATCGCAATGATTTCTAAAGAAGTCGAAGAATGGGACAAGACAGTTAATTCGTGTGATGGTATAAAGGATTGTTTGGATCGAATTATGCCTAATTTGAAAGAGGCTGCAACTGATATTTTAGTAAGAATTCAAAAAAAGATTAATTGGACTGACGATTTTTGCAAATTAGCTGCTAGTAAAGATAATAGAGCTTGTGATGCTTCGTGGTCACATTTCCAAGTTGATTTGTACAATATTGTTGCTGAGATTGAGGAATGTGTGCAATCTAATAATTAATAAAAGTATTGGTAAAAATCTTGGTATACGACATTTTTGCTAATTAGTTGATATACTTACATTCGCCTTTTATTTGACATATTATTGGTTAAAACATATAAAGAAAAACCCCTACCCCTACCTACCTACATTATACGAATACATATTTAAAATTAGGTACCTATAACTATATGCATGACATCTATTTTTATGGAATTTTTAATATTATTTTTTTAGGTAATACATATTTTTTTCAGCTTCAAGAACAACGATTAGGTACACTGGTATACAGAAAAAAATCAGCGCAAAGTTTTTTAGAGTATTTTGGCCCGCTGATTTCAAAAATAATATCCATTTTATTTGCTTGGGTCTTGTTTTAAAGATATTGCGAAAAAAAAATTTTACAAACGTGACAAAATATCATTCTTTTTCTGCGCGTTGTCAAAGTCAGGGGGCATTAATTAATAATTATTAATTAATTAATTAATTAATTAATTAATAATTATTAATTATTGCGTTAGGCAATTTTGGCGATTAAACGTCGGGTTTTCGAAATATTCACAAAAATAACATTTTTTTACATGGGACTTCCTCTATATTTTGACATATTTTGAAAGATAATTTAATTTGGAAGAAAAAATTATTGCATAACTACCCTAAATAATCAGAAAGTTCAAGTGCTTATATGCAATCATATTTTTTGTTGCAAATTAAATTATCTATCTTTTTAGGTAATTTTTATTATTTCGTGAAATATTTTTAATTACAATTTAAGATGTGGATGATTCTACAAAAGTTGGGCAACTTGATGTCATTAGTCAATAGAGTGGGTATTTTAATATTTTTTGGAAATATTTTAGTACCTATATTACAAAAGATCCAGATTTTTTTAACTTGTCCACCCAATTTTAATGTATTTTTCAAAAGCATGTTTGTGGAAAAACATAATAAATATTCAAAACATTCAAAAATTATTTTACTAGCTTATATTTTGTGAAAAAGCCACAATAAAAATTATCAGACCATGGCTATAGATGCTAAAAATATTTTGTGTAAACTTTTCTTGAATGACACAATTTTTGTTAACAATGTAACTACAGGAAAAAATAAGAACTAAGTTAAGTTAGATAAGTTACATCTTAGGTTTATCTTTATTTTTACGTATTCATCATTGTTAAATTTGAAATTTTTAAAGTAATAAATCTATTTTTATTTGTAGGACGTCCTGCGTCTTGTAAAAATAAAACATTGGCAATTGTTATTTTAAACTTTTATGTTAATTAGTAATTAATAATTACACTGTATACAGTGTAATGTACTGAAAAAAATTTGTTGTAAAATTACATAGAAAATAATGGGTTATTTTATACCCATTATTTTCCTTGTAAAATTGCATCAAGTTTGTAATTTAAAATTATTACAATATTGTTGTAAAATTCAAAATTGTAAAATTAAAAATTGTAATATTACAATAAAATAGTACTTTTAAAAAATTTACAAATTTGATGTAAATCACAAATTGTAAAATTACAAATATGGAATTAAGGGTTTTTTCGCCTATTGTATTGATTGATTGAAAATAAAGCAATATGCTAATTAATTGTTTATTTAAAACTTTTTACAACTCTTCTTAATTTTGGCCTGCTTTTATTTTTTTATTTTTTATTATTTTTATTTTTGTATGGATCTACCACAATAATAAAAATTAAGCACAGACCAAAATTAACACAATTTCAAGGAAAATATGACATATAAAAATACATACATCTAAAGTTAAAATAATATAATTGTTTAAATAAAATGGCAACTTATCAAAAAAATTAAAAATGGTAAATTTAAAAAGAGCTCATCAAAGAAAAACTCGTTAAAAGTGAAACAAATTTTTTTAACTTAAACAAAATTCACTATTTAATAAATTTACCATTTAAATTTTTTTTAAATTTATTTATTTAAGTTAATACCTTTTTTTTCATTTTCCACTTGTCAGGATGTAATTTTAAGTAATATCTTTCGATAAATTTCTAAACACAAGAACCTTCAGTTGGGTATTTTAAAATATAGTCCAAACATTAACTGAAAAGCTTAAAAAAAACTTGCACATTGAAGCAATCTTTTTTTTTCAATATAAATATAAAGTTCTTTAGCTGGAACAGAAAAATGTGTAAAGAAGTTTTATAAAAAAAATGTAAATATATTTACACTTACCTATCTTTACAATACAAGGAGACTGTGACTTTAAACAGTCTAACTCATCAGATTCTTCGTATGAAATCTAAAATAGAATATTTATTTAGATAGGTGAGCACCTATATACTATTATAAGTTTTTTTTATTTAATTTAAAAATTTAAACTTAACTTTAAATAAAAAAAATATCGCTAAAAGCATTTAACGCTTTGTAGAATATTCAACATCACTGCAATGTGATTGTTTAATGTGTACATATAATTTTTATAAGTTAAAAATTCCCTTAAACAATCTTTTCTCAAGCGTTTAAAATGCGATTTATAATTAAATATATGATATTTTAAATAATTATTATATCGAATAATTGCTTTAAATGTTAACTGACAAATATATTACATTTGTAAATTATACTTACCACAATAAAAAGGAACAAAACGGCACACGCTTTAAGAAGGGACACGTTCTAACCAAAAAGGCATTGATTCGATGCAAATTTGTCGGGAGCGTCACGTGATATATTTATCTTATTTGATTGGTCGAACTTTACAATTAGTTTGTAAAATTACAAAAATATTGTATGTTTCTGTCACGTGAGTATTTTGCTTTATTTCATTGGTTATTTTTTTTACAATAAACTTGTAAAATTGGAAAAGGATTAAAATAATACAAAAACAATGTAATTTCACACACAAAAAGTAAAACTAATAAATATTTTTACAATGATATAGTAAAAATGTTAAGTTTTTGTAAAAATAACAGAAATTCCTTGTAATTTTATATTTACATGTAATTTTATATTTACATGTATTTTATGATAAAAAAACCAGATAGTTTTACAATAAAATTACATACATTTTTTTCAGTGCAGGTAAATTTTTAACTTTCGAAATATCACAGCTAACTGATGTGTGGGTCCAGCCAAATTTAATTTTTTTTTAATTTATACAGTGTGTTTAAATTTACATGGTGTTTCCAATATCTTTGAATTTTGACCTGATACAGCTAAACCAAGCACGGATTTGTAATCTACGACCAAAAATTAAGTTTACGTGTCCGAGCGTTTAGCTGTGATATTTTCACCTCCCTACAGTGTTATGAACGATATTTAAGTAAATATGCTGTACCTTGATGGAACGCAAAGATGCGTTTGTTAACTTGCCGCTTAAATATTCGCCTGCCAACGTGGCGCGGCTCTAAACAATATTATTTATCTTTGAGGAGGAGCGATCACAAAATTGTTTAAACGGTTTCTGAATCTTTAGCTTTAACGTAATTTTTTTTTTCTTGGGAAGAACAGCACCAAATTAGCAAAATTATATTGTTAATTGCATTTATTTTTTACCATTCTCACAATTTTTGTTAATTTTTTATAAATAGTTTAAACTATTTATAAAAAATTAACAAAAATTGTGAGAATGGTAAAAAATAAATGCAATTAACAATATAATTTTGCTAATTTAGTGCTGTTCTTCCCAAGAAAAAAAAAATTACGTTAAAGCTAAAGATTCAGAAACCGTTTAAACAATTTTGTGATCGCTTCTCCTCAATTACAAGAAAATAGTTTTTAAATCAAATTTACAATTTTTTTAATCATACATAGTAAATAAACAAATTAAGTTTTTCAAAAAATTGTTTGTGGTAACTTTTTACTACTTACTTAGTAGATTATGATATATTCATTTTTAATTTTCATCACAACGTCGAAAATCATGGACTCACTACAACTTTTGTAATTTTTATTAAGATTTAACGAAAATATTTGATATTACCACTACTTGAACTTCATAAAATGATGTAATTACCTAAAAACATGTTTTATATTGCATGCTTTTTAAGTAACGTTCATTAGGTGTTTAAAGACCTGATAAAAATTAAATACTTAGATATTTTTTATTATTTAATGAACGACGACCGATAGTTTTTATTTCAAAATTAAATTATTTTTAGTCGATATCCAATGTAAAAATCTTGTTTAAAAAAATAATATTTTAACATGGCGTGGAATGCCCCATAAACATAAATAATTATAAATGTTATTTATAAGGTGTCTTTGTGCTTTAAATTAATTCAATTTACCAAAAGTCGATATTTATTACCAAAACAAACAAAAACACGGTATAAAAATAACAAATACTGTCATATATACTGTATTTTAATCAAGGACAACAAGAATGCAAAATGGTACGTAGGGTATAAAAACAAAAAACGACATCCAAAGGCATTACAGTTTTAACATTGTTTAGTTCCACTAACATCAAAATGATTGTAAAGTTTATAATTTTTGTGGTGATAATAATTCAGGTAAATATTTTATGCATTTGATTTTTATTACCTATTGGAAATGTATTCCAATTTATAACATTAACTTAGAGACATACTACATAAAATAATTTGGATAGTTTTAATTTTACAAATTTACAAATATAATAGATATTAGCAAAGATTAAAAAACTATAAAATTGGAGAAAAGTGTTTCGTAAAACTTAATACTAAACTTTTAATAAACTTATCTAGGTATTGGCTAAAAAAGACGACGCCACAACCGAACTCAACAAGCTTAAAATAAAAGTAGAGTCAGAAGTGAACACATTCGAGGAAAACTCCAAAAAATGGCAACAAAACCTATTCCAAGACGTATTAAAATTTGATAATAAAACACTGGAAGACGTAAACAAAAAAATCAAAAGAATTAAAGAAAATGTTGCTAAATTAAAACCGAAAAACCCTAAATGTGTCGACGACCAAAAGGAGGCAATTTCAAAACTGGACGGCTTAGGGAAATCATTTTATCCATGTAGCAGTCAAGTAGCAGGAAGCACGGAAAGAAATATCGGTGAGTTTCAAAATCGAGTTGCCAGGGCCAAAGGCCAACTGGATATGCTTGAGGATAGGATTAAGGGATGTGCAGAGAATGAAGATTGTTTGACCGCCGTTATAAGGGATATTAAAAAAAGTAATATAGCGAAAGAAATAGAAGATATAACAGGGAAAACCGAAGATTTTGTTAATGTTAAAAAGAATGAATTAAACCATTGTTCTACTGTGGATAAGGTTAAAGATAGGGGTGACGAAATAGTTAACAAAATTAGAGAATGTATTGATAAACATTACTAATAATATAATGTTGAATGTAAGAATTCTGCCATTTAATATGTCATGTAACTTTTTTTAATAAATAATTATATATTTAGTGTATTAATACAAAGATGTCATAAAAATTAGGTTCGTAGTTTTTATTTATTTTCAATTAAATATAATAAGCCAACATTGAAAACCACCCCACCATATAAATGTTACATACTATTAGACCCCCAACAAATAATTGGTTTAAAAAATATCAAAATGCCGCATGCCACTTATAAATAATAAATGACTGTAACATATTAATAAACATAATATTGTTGTAATCAATCAACGATATTGTTAATTGTGTAACGGATCAATTCCTATAAATAAATAGACGTGCTTTAGAAGTCTGTCAACTTTTTTTAGTTGGCTGGTTACTAATTACACACACATCGCTTGGTTTATGATGTGCAATATGGTTTTTTAAACATATGGCGATATTAACATCTATATTTTGTTAAATGTATTTTTCTACTCCCACCTTTAAAACGTCCTTTACCGTACATGTTTCCATGACACTAAGTGACCTTTTAAATACACATTGACAAGTTGTGGCTTTACGGCACTTTAGTCACGGGCTGAAGTTAGCAACAGGTTTTTAGTCACGGGCTGAAGTTAGTTTTAAGTTAGTTGACAGTTGTCTTGTAAAATAATACTAAATGTGAAAATTATTTTATTATCTCAATACAAAAATACAAAAATATTAAATAGTTTCTCAACGCCAATATTTGAAAAGTTTATATGAACATTGTACTGACCTTTTAATTTCGTCGGCAGTAAACTATAAATTAAATTCGGACACGGACTCTACTGTAAAGTCCTCATAAAACATTTCCTTTACTTTCACTGTGAAAAACTATCAATTTTCAATATACATTTCGATTTATAACCTTTATAATTGTGTTTATAAAATGTAAAAATGTGACATTTGACAGTTTCCCCTGTTGTTTCATAGATGGCGCTCTATACAAATTTTTGATTTAAATCATTTTAAAATAATAATAAGTATTTGTCGTAGAAAAAGTATAGTATGCACCTCGTTTATAAACTTTTCTATACACTCATTAATTTAAGAACTCCTGCCTAAATTAAATTCGTGTTTAAAATGGCGTTTATCAAACTTGATACATAATATACTATTAAGGTAATTTTATTAAATTAATAAATACAATTCTTTCGTAAATAAAAATGGATCATCACCAACGTATTCAAATTATTCAAAAATAGGTTTTTATCCATTAATTGGTTTTGGTTTTGCATATAGATACTTTTTAGAACCTAAGTAGGTAAGTTGTAAAATTGCGTTAACATCATAATACTTTGGCGAGTGGCTTTTGTTTAAAAACACAACAGCCTTAAATTTGTCACTCGAGAGCTTAAGAATAGCGCACGTGCTGTCTTAAACACAAAAAAAGACAATGGTCAAGAAACGGAAAACTGGATCAAAGCCTTCTTACTGTACTCCTAGGCAAAAACTTAAATAAATCTGACGTTTTTCAAGCAGACGGACAAAATAAATAAGGTCCCATGCGACATATGTCCTATTATATTTTTTTGCCCTGTCTATTGAAGACGGTTTCGTTTGAAAGGCGAGGGGAATTGTATGGTTAAAGCTGGGAGGTACTAAAATTAAAGAAACGCGTTATTGCAGCATTATTGACTTAAATATATAATTGACTTATTTATCTAATATATTACTACTTATTTTGTGACTTAATTTAAATATGTGAAAATTACAAGACAGGCCGACAAAATGCAATTTTTTGTTTTCTGCATGGTGGCCAACAATTTTTTTATGATTTCAATACCATATAATCATTTTAATAATTTAATAGTTCCTTAGGTATGTAATTTTCTCACTCTAGTGAGGTTAGGTAGATCTGACTATTTTTTTATTGATCTTAAAATGTTTTTTACAGCTTATAAGGTAAGAACTAGGGAATACAATCTTGCAGCAAAATGTACAATCTTGGTATTGCAAGATTTAAGAGGTGAAATCTCGCAAGATCTCGGTATTTTGCGAGATCTCGCAGATTTAAGATTAATAAAAAAATAAATTAAATAAAACATAAATTAATTAATTTATTTAAGACTATTCCACTCATTACTTTATGGACCAATCAGATTTCAGAAAACGAGTGTTTTTTTCAGTTTTGCATCGATAAAACTACTGTTGAAAAAAAACATACAGTTGCCAATTGGTTGCTATGCGAAAAATAATTGTCAATGTTGACGTTTCTAATTTTAAAATAAAAATTTCAAAAAATATGCGTTTTGGTCAAAAAAAATCACAGAAATTGAATCGGCAGTTAATTCTAATTAAAAAAAATATTCGTGAAATAGTCTTGCCGAATACCACTCATAATAAAATTTTCCCTGAATTTTTTTTTGATTTTTTACTCAAGATTTTTCCTTGGAAATTTCGCTCGTGGCATTAATTTTTAAGACCACGAGCCGCTAGGCGAAATTTCCAAGAAAAAAACATTCGTATAAAAATTTAATCGGTAAAATTTTACCACTAGTGGTAAAATAGAGTAATCATCAAGCTATTGAAGCAAAAAACATAAACATAACTAAAAATTATTTATTGAAAAAATTATAGATTATTTTGAAAATGACCTCTCAAAAACAACAAAACACACTTGGAATGCGCTGCGTAATAATCTCGCAAATCTTGCGAGATCGCGCATGATTTTAGTGCAATACTAATCTTGCAAAATTAGTGCGAGATCTTGCTATTCCGAGATGTTGGTATACCAAGATTGCATTCCCTAGTAAGAACCATATTGGTCTAAATTATTTTTACAGATTATGCGATCATGTAATTATAGAACGCCTAAAGATAATAGTATATTATGTATCAAGTTTGTTAAACGCCATTTTAGTCACGAATGCTTAATTAAATGTGTGCCTAGAAAAATTTATAAACAAGTTGCATACTATACTTTTTCTACAAATACTTAATTTTATATACAAAATTATTTAAATTAAATATTATACGAAAATAAAGTAACCAGCCCAATAATTACTTTTGACGTAATTTTTACCATTAACATTGCCGAAAATTATTTTAATTTAACTTAACATTTATTGATACTTTAAAATATAAAAATAACTTAAAAATATGATTACCTATGTTAAGAAAATATAGAATTTATAACTTTGGAATCTACTGGCGTTCATATCTCAAATTTTTCTGTGTAAATTAAAATGTATCCCTTGAAAATAGACTAACTATCGATAAGAAGTAGTTTTTTACAGTTAAAGGGAAGAGAATGTTTAATGGGCACTGTACGCAACATTTTTAACGCTTTATCAGTTAAATCTACTACGGCAAAATCAAAAGGTCAGTACAAACATTTATATAATGTTTTCAAATATTGGCGTAAAGAAATTATTAAATACTTTTGTATTTTTGTATTAAGATAATAAAATAATTTTCACATTTAGTAATATTTTACAAGAAAGGCACTTTATTTTAACGATTGTATGACATTTGACAACTGTCAACTAACTTAAAACTAACTTTAGCCCGTGACTAAAAACCTGTTGCTAACTTTAGCCCGTGACTAAAGCGCCATAAAGTCACATCTTGTCAACATGATTTGAATTTTTTTAATAGCTCATTCGGAATATTTAAAAAAGAATGTAATCAAAAAATGATTACCACATGCCAATCCTAATGTAATTATTTAGTGTATTTTTTGTAAAGTGGTGTATCCGTTAATACAGTCCCAAGCAGCATTTTTGGTTCCAAAAACAATTGCCAAAGTGGTGATAACTTTAAATTAGTTAAGTATACTAAACAGCTACTTTAATTTTTACTTAAAAGTAATTCTAACTTTTAAATAGCAATATTTTGTAACAGAATCTTAATTTTTCCTTAAATGGTTACTATAAAGTAATAAACATTTAAGTAAAACTTGGTTGCCCCGCAGAAGACTTTGCAACTTTAAAAAAGGTGTTATAAGTAAAAAAAACTTTCAAGTAATTTTAATTTGTAGCAGTTACTTTCGGTTGTTACCTAAAGATTACATTATAATTATTTTTACTTTGTAGTCTCTTTGCAAGTTAAAATCTCGAAACTGGAACATGAGTTAAAAACTACAAAGTTAATAACTTAAAAGTTATTATTTTAGTATTTGGAACGTTTATGGTACTAACCAAAACAACCGTAAAGTGGAAAAAAACTTTAAAGTACTTCAAAGGAAAATGCTTCTTATCGGCCATTACTGTACAGTACCTACCACGAGGTAATGTAAATAATAAATTATTTTAATTGTTTGTAAATGGCTGTTTACATTTTAATAAATAGTAATTAATAATTAAATAAAAAAATTAATAATAAATATTAGGATTTTTTTATTTATAAACATTATTAAATAAATAATTTGTTTATACTTAAATATACTATCTATGAATTTTTAAATAGATAAAAACACTTTTAAGTTTAAGTTTATTTTTGTTAACTGTTATTAATTATAATTGTTATTATTGGGATTTTTACTTTAAATATGTAATCTGTAATTATGCAATATTAAAATTGTACTTCTGGGACGATGCTAAACATCTTTTGTATGTAATTGAGCAAATAAAGAATTTGTATTTTGTATTTGTATTGATGAAGCGCATTTATTTTACAAAAACTAAATTCATTAGTTCAACAGTAAAATTTAAAGGGTTCATAAATTTACCTGCCTAATTAAATATTATATTGTTATTCTGGAAGTTATAAACTACCAGTACATATTTAATAAACGACGACATTGAAAAGCCAAGTCCGTAGTGGTTCCATTTAAAAAAGGAGGAATAGTATAATCTAATATAAGTTTGACAAAGACAGTTAATATAGAAGTAAAAACAAATAAATAAAAGTAATTATAACGGTATAGCAACGATATTGGAACGTTCTAGTAACGTAGCTGCTACGTTCCAAATAGTAGCAGGGTTTATAGCTAGTAACATATTTGTTACCTTTTTGGAACTCAATAATTGTTCCCCACTTTAGTCGCAACTTAGTAATAAAAGAGTAATATAAAGAGACCGGCGAC